TCTTTAATATGTTGCCTTTTTTAAATGAGTTAACTTCTGCATTAGGAATTCCTACTTTTTTCTAATAAACAACACATATTCTGACTTAATTAGGCAGCAAGTTTTTCTGATTTTGCTTTTCCTTTGAACTTTCTGTACTCTCCCCTCCCTTTTTTGTTGTTGTTTCTTTGTTATATTGCCTATAATTGTTTCCCTAAATGTATTGTTAAGAAAGAATAAATTTCAAGATTTTTTTTTACTTTGCTATTAATATCCTAGAATAAATAGATAGCATTGATAGAAAGAAAAATTAGCAAGACTAAGGATTACTAGGGGAATGTCTTTTTTCTTTTTTTACCCAATGAGGATTCTGACTTTTGTTTTTTTCCATTTGTATATTAGGTGGTTGTGAATGCCCTTTTGGGAGCAATTCCATCCATCATGAATGTGCTTCTGGTTTGTCTTATATTCTGGCTAATTTTCAGCATCATGGGCGTAAATTTGTTTGCTGGCAAATTCTACAACTGTGTTAACACCACCACTGGTGAAATGTTTGACATCTCCGAAGTGAATAATCATTCTGATTGCCTAAAACTAATAGAAAGAAATGAGACTGCCCGATGGAGAAATGTGAAAGTAAACTTTGATAATGTAGGATTTGGGTATCTCTCTTTGCTTCAAGTTGTAAGTGAACACTCATTTCTCTGAATTTTGTTTAATCGTTTGGAATAGTAAAAAAGTAATGATCATAAATCTATCATTTAGTAACTAAGAAGAAAGTTTATAAGATAATTTTTTTTGGCTAATTTTGATTAGTTAGTACAAGTTTATGAGCACAGATCAATGGAAACTTCATTACATTTAAGCAGCACAGACATAGTCAATAATGGCCAGGTATTTCAGTTCTTTCCAAAGATCTTTTTCTCTTTTTTCCCATGTTATTCTCTTATATGAACACATGGATTAATAAATCAAAAATTTCACTATTATTCTTTATATTGAAATTTGAAAGCTTGTTTCATTGCTGGATCCACCTCCAAAATACACACACTTAACATGCCGGATTTGATTGTAAATAATTGGTAGGAATTAATTGCTGCTGAGAAATTTACTTTCGTGTGATATTAATGATACTGTTCAATAATTTCTTCATTATATTGGATCTCCTTTCTTGGGAACGGACACAAATACAGAGCTTTTACAGTCGGTTGGCCAGGTAGCTGTCTTCCAAATTTCTTGGCATACATGAGTGAGCACCTCCAGCACTGCATTTGTTTATTGAAACATCTCAGTTAGTATTCCATCAGTTCCTGGAGACTTGTTTATTGCCAGTGCCTTCAGTGCAGCTTCGAGTTCTTCCTTTAATACCATCAGTTCTTGATCATATGCTACCTCCTGAAATGGTTGAACATCGACCAATTCTTTTTAGTACAGTGACTCTGTGTATTCCTCCCATCTTCTTTTGATGCTTCCTATGTCATTTAATATTTTGCCCATAGAAACTTTCAGAATTGCTACTCGAGGCTTGAATTTTTTCTTCAGTTCTTTCAGCTTGAGAAATGCTGACTGTGTTCTTCCCTTTTGGTTTTCTAACTCCAGATCTTTGCACATTTCTGTGTAATACTTTGTCCTCTCTAGCCGCCCTTTGAAATGTTGTTTAGCTCTTTTACTTCATCATTTCTTCCATTCGCTTTAGCGGCTCTACATTCAAGGGCAAGTTTCAGAGTATCTTCTGACATCCATTTTGGTCTTTTCTTTCTTGTCTTTTTAATGGCCCTTTGCTTTTTTCGTGTATGATGTCTTTGATGTCATCCCACAACTAATCTGATCTTTGGTTATCAGTCTTCAGTGTCTCAAATCTGTCCTCAAGATGGTTTCCAAATTCAGGTGGGATATACTCAAGCTGTATTTTGGTTCTTGTGGACTGTCTTCAGCTTCGACTTAAACTTGCATAGGAGCAATTGATGGTCTGTTCCGCAGTCAGCCTCTGACCTGGTTCTGACTGATAATATTGAGCTTTTCCATCATCTCTTTCCACAAATGCAGTTGATTTTATTCTTGTGTTTTCCATCCAGTGAGATCTAAGTGTATAGTAGTCATTTATACTGTTGAAAACAGTTATTTGCAATAAGTCATTGGTCTTGCAGAATTCTACCATCCGATCTCCAGTGTTGTTTCTGTCATCAAAGCATATCTTCCAACTACAGATCCTTCTTTGTTTCCAGCTTTCACATTCCAATGACCCGTAATTATCAATGCAATTTGACTGCACGTTTGATCCATTTCAGGCTGCAGAAGTTGGTAAAAATCTTCAGTTTCCTCGTCTTTGGCATTAGTGAATAATAGCCGTATTAACTGGTCTTCCTTGTAGGCATATAGATATTATCCTATCACTGACAGCATTGTACTTCAGGATAGATCTTGAAATAAATTCTTTTTGATGATGAATGCAACACCACTTCTCTTCTATTTGTCATTCCTGCCATAGTAGACCATATGATTATCTGATTCAAAATGGCCAATGCCAGTCCATTTCAGCTCACTAATGGCTAGGATATCGATCTTTATGTGACTTCCAATTTTCCTAGATTCATACTTCATACATTCCAGGTTCTGATTATTAATGGATGTTTACAGGAGTTTCTTCTCATTTTGAGTCATGCCACATCAGCAAATGAAGGTCCCAGAAGCTTTACTCCATCCACGTCATTAAGGTCAACTTTACTCTAGGAGGCAGCTCGTCCCCGGTTGTATTTTGAGTGCCTTGCAACCTAAGGGGCTCATCTTCCAGCAGTATATCAGACAGTGTTCCACTGCTATTCATAAGGTTTTCACTGGTTAATTTTTTCAGAAGTAGACCGCCAGGTCCTTCTTCCTAGTCTGGAAGCGCCACTGAAACCCGTCCACCATGGGTGACCCTGCTGGTATCTGAAATACCTGTGGCATAGCTTCCAGCATCACAGCAACATGCAAGCCACCACAGTACAACAAATTGACAGACGTGTGGTAGGGTATGATATTCAGACTGGGAAATAATATTTGATTTTATGATTGCATCCTGATAGTGAAATGAAAATAATATCTGGAAGCACCTGGACACAGAAATGAAACACAAGTAACTGTTGTCTCACCTCAAATGACATTTCGCCAACATTACTTACATCTACTTGATCCTAAATATTAATGTTTTCACTACTGGGAATCCAAGATTGATTTACACAGAAGAAAGAGTCTGCAAGTTATAAAACTCTAAAAGATAGTGGCCCTTTGAACATTTTTATTTGATGCTGCTTTTAGCTGCAATTGCAGAGCAGCAAAGCAGTGGATAAAACAGCATCTAATTGTTTGAAAATTGTAGTAAAGAATATTGCCCTATTTTGGCCGCTGAAAACTCAGCTTAAAAATAAATTAATAAGTAAAAGGGTGCATAATTTCTTCCCTTATTGTCCTCCAGATTATTTAGGGCAGAAATCTATTTCTGTTCATCAGCCTTATATTTTTCATTTATTTACCCAGGAAACTAAACAAGCAAACAAACCTAAGCTGGTCAGACCATCTTGCACTCTTTCAGAGAATTCTTTTATGAGTCTTTCCCAGCTTCTTATTGGAAATTCTTATTTCTCTTCTGGATGTTTCTAACTTACTCCGAATGTTTCTGTAATTAAAATAGGGATTTAAAAAATCTGGCAAGCATGATCTCTTTAAATTTATTGTAGACACATTATATTTCCTTGAGCATTTATCCTAATACTTAGTTAATAACCACATTTGTAAATATCACTAAGGCATGTTACTTCTTCCATAAATCAAGAAGAAAAAAATAAAAATTTTAAGCAGTCCATTCAAATATTAAGCGATTCTGAAAATACAGGACTAAAGTCCTGTGTGAAGACATTAAATTAATTCTTACTAAACTCTTTAGTACTGTATTCTTTGGCTTTATACCTTTCAGAATCACCTTTCTGTTGACTAGCAACTCATTTAAATGGTTCCTTGAATCACTTTTCCTGTTCCTGTACCAGGTGTATAATGGACTTATTCTGTCATCATCGCCTTGAGCCACAGACACATTCATCATTTCCCTGTTCGATGTACAAAAAAACTTCTATTTTCTAGCTAAGAGTCATTACTTTCTCTTCACTGCCATCACACACACATACTGGGCTTTCTTCTCATTATATCCACCACTACACAAATATTAGTGTCATAAAAACAAAGACATGTTGGGATACTGATGCTGAAAGCTTTCCGAGACTCGCTCACCAGCAAAGGAACAAGCATCTCGGGCCCGCAGGGCTCAAAATTCATGTCCTTAGACAATTAACAAATTACTATCAGTTATTAGACTTGAAATCCTTCTTGAGTCTGTGAATTTCAAGTGGTACTGTACAATTTTCCACTTTTCTTACCTATATTAACTCACTGTCATCAAGAATTACAATGAAGAAAGTAGAATATAGGATTATATCTGACTGCATACCGCAAAATTCTTAAAAAGATAGTTGCAGCTCTGACTTTGTGTATATCTGTATGATTCTTAGAGTGTTACAGTCAAGAGAAATCCTAAGTTTTCAATCACTTTGATCACTTTGCAGATAGATTTCAGCGCATGATCATCAGAGTGAAGCTGCAGTCATACTGCTGCTGCAGACATTGCCAAATATGTTGGTGTTTATAAAGCTTTCTAAAAATATTCCACCAAATTTTAATAGTCTTTAAATTGCATGATTCTATTAACTCTAAAGAATTGAGAAGTATTTGTGAGGTGATTATCAAGCAGGGGGATGTATCAATGAACATTTTGTTCATTATGTCTTCTAGAAATGCTAAATATTGTCTTGGCCCAAAATCCATGTAAAATTTGTTTTGAAATTCTTTAAAAAGGATCCCTTTAAAATATATTAGTAAGAATATTTATAAAACACTAGGTCGGAATTATTTTTAATTCAAAGTAAACCATGCGTGTTCTTTTTAATAGGCCACATTTAAGGGATGGATGGATATAATGTATGCAGCAGTTGATTCCAGAAATGTAAGTATTTCTTATAGTCTAAGTCATTTTACAATCTCAGTTAGGGGCTTCAATTAACTTAAAGCTCATGCAGGCTAATGAAATGATTCTACACTGATGAAAAAAATAAGGAAAAAATATGACTCAACTTAATATTCGAGTAAAGCAGTATTTATCACAAAGATCTTAGTAAAACAAGTCAAATCATGATTTTGAAAGTCAAACTAAAGAAACACATTTATGTAGTTAATAACTAACAAATAATCCATCTATTAAACGTTTTCGACTTTGTTCCCTTTTTTATATACAAAGTATATAATCAGCAATAATTTTGATGTGGAGAAGCAAATGTGAAGAGATAAACGATAACCATCATTACTTGAAATGTTCCATTACTCTCCATACTAGATAGCATGAAGGTTAGCAATGCTGTCCAGGCAGCCTTAGAGTTCTGTTATTCTCTTTCAGATCTACACTTTTATATGATTTTTAGCATACATAAATTTACTGAAGGCTTTTACCATTGCTGTTATCACTCCGACAGCCGACAAGTTTCTTTAAGTTTATATCATCCAAGTAACAACGTTCTTTATTTGACTTTTCCCACAATAGTCACTTTTAGGCTTTAAAAAGTGAACTAAAATCCATGCTCATTCCAACTCTGCCCTTCAAAATTCTGTAAAATTTAGTATTTTCTATCAGCCTTCATCTTTCCATTCCGAAGTCCTTTCCATTCCGAAGTCCTACCAGATAAGACTGTCATCATAAAGAATAACTTCTCTCCCTGTGATCTTTAAACTGTCCCGATAGAACTCAGTTTTATCTTTCTTGAAATGCAACTCCTATAAGTGGCTTTAGTGTTATGTTTAGTACCTTCTTGATAACTTCTAGAATTTTGTTACTTCATTTTACTGTTTTTTGTTTTGTTTTGTTTCATGCTTGGTTGGTTTTAACTGTCTTTAGAAAGACATCACTGTATTAGGGAACTATATATAGTGACTCCTTTACCATTTTCCTAAGTTAATTTCAAAAGATCATTGCCTATTTATTACAAATACAATGTAGGGATTGCATTTTAATTCTCATTTGAAGATTTAAAATATGGAGAGTAGAGTTATGTCTACTTAATCTGAAAATTTCAATTAATGTTCTAATACTAAGGTTATGATGGCAAACATCTACATGAATAACTCAATGCTTGTTTGTTAACTAAACTCATATGTACATGAACAATTATTTCTAAACATAGTCTATACATATTTACTAAGATAAATTTGTTTTCATTAATAATTTTTAAATTATAAAAATTCAGTATCTTGAAAATTTTCCAAGTTTGGTGCATGGCTGTAAAAATCGCAAAATATTAATTGTATTTATAGTTACAAAGAAGGAGCCCTGGTGGTGCAATGGTTAAAGTGCTCAGCTGCTGACTGAAAGGTTAGTGGTTTGAACCTACCAACCTCTCTGCAGGAGAAAGATGTGGCAATCTGCTTCCCTGAAGATTACAGCCTTCGACACCCTATGTGGCAGTTTTACTCTGTCCTGTAGGGTCGCTATGAGTCAAAATCGACTCGACGGCAATGGATTTGGGTTTTTGTTTGTTTGTTTTTTGGTATAGGCACAAAAAATAGATGTGAGAATGTCATAATAACCATATTTTTCACACCAAGCGTCCCTCAAGCTAATTTCAGAGACTTTTTAGTGGTAGTTGAATACAAGAAAAAAACATCCGCTGAAGTATTCCAGAAATACTTTTTCTATTCTCATATGCAAATGCATCAATGACGTTTCCAACATCATAATGTATTGTAATATTTTGCAAAATATTCTCCTTTGGTAGGTGGAACTCCAGCCTAAGTATGAGGAAAGTCTGTACATGTACCTTTACTTTGTTATTTTCATCATCTTTGGGTCCTTCTTCACTTTGAACCTGTTTATTGGTGTCATCATAGATAATTTCAACCAGCAAAAAAAGAAGATAAGTATTTCTAATGTTTTGTCTCCCACTGAGGTAGGAAAATGATTTGAAGTGTTTTCTCCATCACATGAGTACTTTAATTCGGAAGCCAAATAGGGTATATATTAAATGTGTTTTTTGCTTCCACACTCCTGTACACAAGCTCACAAAACCGCTCCCCAACTTTTCTTTCTTTTTTTTAAATCAGGGATGACATTTTCTATCTTTTGAAAGAGAACTGCTTAGAAAAGAGACCAGGAATATACCCTTCTCCAAAGTCATGTTTGTTTGTTTTTTTATCCCTACAATCCCTCCCCCCTTAAAATGTGCTTTGTAACTAAAACCTTTATAATCTTTGAAAAAAATAAGACACCAGATGTGAAATTCTTCCAGTATTTCTTTTCACACTTTTATTTCATTGGTTTCTTTTATATATATTCCCATTTCTTTGTCCTTAATATTTAATTGTAAGTTATCCTTTCCATTCTTGAATTTGACAGTCCTTCATTTTACTAATTATTATTATTTATAAAGTTTATTTTATCATCCAAATATATATGTGCATTATAGAAAATACGGGAAGTAAAGAAATATCGCTGGGAATAACCATTATTCACATGTTATATAACCATTATTCACATTTTATTTATTTCTGTCCAAACTTCTTTTTTCTATGCATATTATTATTGTTGAAATTATTCTACATATAATCATAAAGTCTCCCTTTAATGTATCATGATTTCCCATTTTGTTAAAAGTCTCTCTCTCTCTCTCTCTCTCTCTCTCTATATATATATATATATACAGATGCAGTGAAACCTGTGAGAGCTGAAACTTGATGGGACTGCCTTGTTTTTCCAGACTTCACAAGTTTTACACCTTTGATAGGATACAGTCTTACCACTTTTCTACCACTCGTTTTAGTGACAATATTTGAGTTTTCGTTCTCTAACAGGTTTCCACCTTACACAGGTTCCAGCTTTCCGAGATTGTACTATATATATATATACACACACACACACACACACATAATTTAATTTTGATTGTTTTTCATCTGTACTAATTTAAATAACTCCTTGACTAAAATCTTTGTGTCAAAAAAATTAAGTCCTTAGAATAAATCCCCAGAGTATAATAATTTGCTTCCCCAAAGTCGTATACAAATTCATACTTCCAATAAGAGTGTGTGAATGTGCCTGTCACTGTCCCCTCACTGGATCACACATTCTCTTTGTTTTTTAATATTTCGTGTTTAATTTTAACATCTATATGTTTTATTACTAGTCGTGTTGAACATGTCTTGCAGTGTTTATCAGCCATTTGTATTTCTTCCTTTGTGTGCTGTTCCTTCATCTCATTTGCTTAGTACGTTTTCTTGTCAATACAATGAATGTTTTTGTTGTGTGAAATGCTCCGGAACATTCTTGCCCCTCTCCTCTTTTCTTATCACTAATATTATTCTGTATTCAATAATTTATTATTGTGTAGTTCTAAATGGTTAACTTATCCTTTTCACCTATTAGTCTAAGTCCCAATCCTCTCTACCTGCTGGCCTATCATCCACCTGCCATATCAACAACCTCTGATTAATCTCCAAACTCTTCTATCAGTTAGTCCAATTTTCTTTCCATCTCTCTTACTCCAATTCCTGGCAAAATAAAAATGGCTTTTTATTACAAACCCCATCCAGTTTACAGTATACGTACTATTAACTCTTTAATTAAAAATTTTCAAATCTTTAATTTTAATTAAATTTTAGTTTTCAATTTAATTTTCCAAATTTAAAATATCAAGCCCTATTATGCTAATTAGTTGGATTTTGCATTTCCTTTTTTAAGTATCCTTTGTCTATTTTAGGATCCCTGGTGGTGCAGTGGTTAAGAGCTCAGCTGCTAAACTAAAAGGTCGGCAGTTCGAATCCACCAGCTGCTCCTTGAAAATCCTATGCGGCAGTTCTACTCTGTTCTGTAGGGTGTCTATGAGTCAGAATCGACTCGATGGCAACGGAATTTTTTATTTGGTTTCCTATTTTACGTTTAGTATTGGGGAAAAAAATTGTGAAAGGACACAGTTTTAACCAGTTTTGATTTTTCTTTTCTATACTTCGGAGGTCAAGACATCTTTATGACAGAAGAACAGAAGAAATACTACAACGCAATGAAAAAATTGGGATCAAAAAAGCCACAAAAGCCGATACCTCGACCAGGAGTAAGAAATACTAAATGACTTGGGAAAAACAAACAAAAACTGGCATGTGTTTTTTCACAGAAGAGATAGCAGCTAACATTTCCAACAGCAAAGATTTCTCCCACTTTTAGAGGATCATTAACTCATACCGTTTTTGATAATGGTAAAATGTTAAAAAGAATAAAAGACCAAAAAGAAAAAGAAGGAACAGAAAATGCAACCTTGTCTTAAAGGGATTTAGAACTACATAACTAGAGTCCAAACTCAATGACAAAAGAACACATAGGCAATGTGATGTGCACAAGCAGAAGTTGATCATTGACTAAAAGTAGTGGACAAGTAATGTTAGAAGAGATGAACAAAAAAACTGCTGGGGAAA